CCCGCGGGGGGGGGGGGGGGGGGCCCGCCCCCCCCCCGCCACACGGAGGAGGCTGCGCCGGGGTGGGACGGGGGCGGGGAAGGGGTTTCCACGAACCCCCCAACGTAAACCCTGACACCTTATCAATACAAATCTCTAACAAGGGCCCTTCTGCGGATCATAATGACTTCTCAAAGTTGCTGCAGGTCTAGAAAGCATGCCAGTCACAGCCACAGATCAATTCTACACCCACGGAAAGTGACTTAATAAATGGAACCTCGCCAGTTATTATCCTTGCTAACAGCAGGCCCCTTCTTATTTGTCCTAATTAGCAAGACTGAAATGTCGGAGGAAAGAAGGGGAATATTCAATAAAATCTAAATTATTGAATGACTGTAAGATTTCGCCATTAGTTCAGCCATTCTTTACCTTCTTCAAAATGTCAAACAAATGGGGAATGCATATTTGCAACCCTGCCCTTCTGTTCTGTGCAACTGGAGGGCATATATTAAGCATATTAAGCGTATTCAGCTCTTGATCGTTGTCAAAACACTGCAAATGCCTCACGATTATTAACCTAGAAATATGCAAATGAGATACGCTCGCACGTGTTTGTAGGGATGCTAAAGTAATATTTATCTTGTGCTGATCTAGGCTGGGGATGTGTTTGCTAAAGAGCTACTCGAAGCCCTGAAGATGTTGAACCAACCCGTTAGAGCCATGGGAAGGCTCAAGGCGGAAAACCTTCTGTGAAGGAAACGCGGGCGAGACAGCGAGGCAGGAGCTGAGCCTTTGATGTGTGAGATGGGAAGAGTTAACTTCTCCCGGGGAATCACCCCGACCTTCCTCCTGAGCTGCCGGTGCCAGACTACGGCTTTCCGGGAATATCCCTCCAGTGACCGTCTTCTCAGCTGAGTTGTAGCATCCTTTTCCAGCGCTTAACCGCATCCCTGTCCTCAATGCCCGGAGCTTGGGGAGCGCTCCTAATGCTCCACCACCACCAAACGAAGGGGCTGGGAGAGGGCACCTTCTTCTGCTCGCCATCCTGCCACCTCCCGCATCTATCCCAGCTTTGCCGTTTTTTTTTTTTTTAATTTTTCCTCTCTATATTCAGTGAAGGGGAAAATACAGAGTGTCGGGTTCGGGGAAACTAAACTTAAGAGACGCTGCAGTTCGGTCGGGTGAATCTAGTCCTCAGCCCCAGCGGGATACTGTTTAAACTAACGCTGGTTGATATTAATAATGCTGACCTACTAATATTAGCAACATTGATGAAGGCGTTAATGAATTCACGCACTTAGTAAAAGCCGGGTTTAGCTGGAGCTAGCCCGCGCCGGGCCTGCCAGGTGCTGGATCTGAATGAA